GGTGTGGAGGGAGGAGAGCATATGGCATGTCGAAGGCACAGAGAACAGGCTAGGAGATGTCATTCGGACCCATCCCCTACCCTGAAAAGCGCAGGTGGGAAGTGCTGCAGAGCTCACCGTTAGGAGCGATTATCGCCACATCTCCCAGCACGCTGAATACCTCCTCTCTCCACTGCTTCTGGCAAGAACAGGAAATGCCAAGACATGTTCTTAAATAAGGCAAAGTCTATCTGGGTTTCTGGATGTCAGTTTTAATTTTTCTACCAAGAAATAGGTTTAAGCAAATAATTTAGTGACTCCATTCGTGTGTCTGAGTTACTAGGTGACAAAAAAGGCTGTACGTTGCTCAACCAAGGACTTATCTTTGGGCATTTTGCCCAAATCCTTTCCACCTTGACCTAGTCTATTCTAGAACAGTATATAAGTGGCACTTGTAATGGACTGATTTATATCATGGTTACTCATGTGTGTGTTAAACCAACCAGCCACAAGACTGTGGCTGATCAGGTACCGGATCAGCGGAGCGACAAGCCTACTATGTGCCCGCCCTTGGGTCAGAGTACAAAGAATGAAAGGATCCTGACTCTCAGGGAACTTATATTCTAATGGAGACAAGGAAACATATAAGCAAATACAGCAGGAAAAAGGTGATTAAATGCAAATATATGTGTATATTTGTATTTATGTCTATGCATGTATATATGTGCATATATATATATATACACACACACATACATTTTATATATATATTATATATATATATATAGAGAGAGAGATGAACAAAGGAAGAGAGATACAGAGGGAGAGACAGAGAGAGGGGGAAGGGAAAGAGAGAAAGAGAAAAGGAAAGACGAGAGAAAGGGAGGGAGAGGAAGGGAACAAAAGGAGGGAGAAAGGGTAAGAGGGAGGGACAGGAAGAGGGGGAGAGAGAGACACACACTGAGAGAAAAGGAGGAGGGAAGGAAGGAGAGACAGCGAGAGACAGAGAAAAGGGAGAGTAGTTCAATACAAGGCAGTTTGGTGGGGAGAGCCATAGCAGTTGAGAGAATCAGAAAAGGTTTCATGTTGAAGACAGTGCTCGAGCTGGGACTCTATCAGGTGGGGGTAAGGAGGGAGGCGGTGCAGACACTGGGAAAGATGGGAGATGAAGTGCCATGTGTAAGGAATAGAAAAAAGATCAGCTTAACCAAGTCCTTGAGTGTGAGAAAGGGAGTGAGTAATGGCCAAAGAGGCTGCAAAGATAGATGGGGCCCATGTTGTGAAGAGCTGTAGAAGCTAAACAGAGGAGTCTACATTGTTCCTAGGCACAATGAGAAGCCACTGGTGTCGATGCAGTAGGGGAGTCCCACAGTCAGACTACCCTAAGGAAAATACTTGGGGAACATCGTGGTGGATAGACTGGAGCAGAGAGAGTTGAGGCAGGGAGACCAACTGTGATTGTTATCCTTTGCTCTTGAAGAGGACCAAAATGGCATCACTACATTGCAGTCAAGGTGTAGCGTGTCCAACTGTGGCTGATCAGCTCTACCACAGGTCGGGCAGAAATGTCCACGTTAGCATTTGGAGTGGCTCTGCTCATGGATCACAGCATGCCAAAGGCAATCACACTGTGCATACCCTTTGACCCAGCAACAGCACTGAGATCAAAGAAAAGGGAAAAGGAGCCACACGTACAAAACTATTCATAGCAGCTCTTTTTGTGGTGGCCAAGAACTGGAAACTGAGGGGATACCCATCACCTGGGGAATGGCTGAACAAGTTGTGGTATATGATTGTAATGGAATACTATTATTCTGTAAGACATGGTGAGCAGGCAGACTTCAGAAAAACCTGGAAAGACTTGTGTGGACTGCTGCTGAGTGAAGTGAGCAGAGCCAGGAGAACATCGTACACAGCGACAGCAGCAATGTGTGATGACCAGCTATGATGGACTCAGCTCTTCTCCAAAAGACTCATGATGGAAAATGCTGTCCACCTCTAGAGAAAGAACTCTGGAGTCTGAGCGCACACTGAAGTACACTATTTTCACTTTTTGTTGGTTTGTGGTTTTTTCCTTTGGTTCTGTTTTTTCTTTCACAACATGACTAATGTGGAAACATGTTTTACATGATTGCCCATGTGTACCCTATCAGACTGTCTGATGTTTGGGGAGAGGGGAGGGAGAAAAATTAGGAACTCAAAATCTCACAAAAAATGAAAGGTGGGACAGCGAGGTGGCACAGTGGACAGAGCACCAGCCCTGAAATCAGGAAGACCTGAGTTCAAATCCGGCCTCAGACCAAACACTTCACACTTACTAGCTGTGTGACTCTGGGCAAGTCACTTAACCCCAACTGCCCCCAAAAACAAACAAACAAAAAAAATGAAAGTTGAAAATTGTCTTTACATGCAATTGAAAAAAATGAAATACTATTTACTTAAAAAAAAAAAAGGCTGCTTAGAACCCCAAAGGGCTGCCAAATCCACTGCAGCTTCAGCCCAGTGAGACTATTGGCTGGGCCGCCTGTGTGCAGGTTGTGAGTACAGCTCCCAGGGCATCCACATCTGCTGCTTTGTCAGCTGCCTGCTGCCACAGGACTTTGAGATCGGTAAAAATGATAAAATAGTATGGATGATGTCTGTTGATCTGCACATAAATCGGACTGACATGAGGCAGAGTTGCCGGAAGCCGTCAGCCTCAGTTTCTCTTCCAGAGTCATCACAGTCCCGTGGCAATACAAAGTCAAGACAACTGATGATAGCTCAGGATTCAGTGAACGATGCTGGCGTCTTTGGTGTCTAACCAAACTAAGCCTTCCACAGCGCCTGCTTCAGCTGCCCTCATGGCTGTTGGACCAGACTGTTCTCATCCGCCCATTCTGCTGGAGAGAGTCTTGCCATGCTTGGGGCAGGCACCCCTCAGTTTAGTCTATTTGTTGAAACGATTTACTAGAGTAAGGCCACTGTGCATGGTACAGCTACTCGGAGCCACAGGTGAGTGTAAGTAGATGCCAAAGCAGACACCAAAAGCAGAAAGCAATCCTTACACCAGAGGTCCCCTGCACCCCAGGGAGACCAACTAGGAGACTGGGCAATAATCTAGGCAGGAGGTCATGAGGAGCTGAACTAAAGGGTGGCCCTGTCAGATAAGAAGATGCTGTGGAGGCAGAACATGAGTTCTGGCACGGAGCTTGGCTCCACAGGATGAAGGAGAGGCAGGAGTCCAGGATGATGGCCAGAGCTACAAACCTGGACTACAGCTGGCAGGGGGAAGAGGTAGGGAAATCTAGAGAAGGACAGGGCTTGGGAGGACAGCAAATGAGGGCCGTTTGGGATATGTGAGCATTTTTGTGGCCCCTTCTCTGTGCCGGGCACTGTGGTAAGTCCTTTATAAATATCATCACATCGATCCTCACAACAACCCTGGAAAGAAGATGGCGTTATTATTCCTATACAGATGAGGAACCTGAGGTGAGCAGTGGTTAAGTCACTTGCCCAGGGACACCCAACCTGTAATTGTCTGGGGCAGGATGTGAACTGGGGTCTTCTTGACTCTGGCCTGGTGGGCACTCTGTCCACTATGGTGCTCCCTAGTGGCCTGAACAAGAAAGGCGATGATGTATACAGAGATCTCAGAAATCTGTGGAGAAAAGACAGACTCATGGGGACTGATGAGGTCACCCTCTCTTTCTGTCTCCCCAGTCTGCCCTAGAGCTGGAGGTGCTCTTACACGTTTCCTGAAGTGAGCTGATCGGGGATGAGGACTACTCCTGAAGGCACCAAGGACAGCCTGGTGAGTCACGCCAGCACGTCCATCACACTATGCTTCGTGTCTGTGCCAGGGTCTGGCACACCAGAGTCTCAGAAGTTGGAGTGAGATGGGCTCATCTTCACTCCGGTAAGAGCTACTTAACCTACTCCAAACACATACTTTCAGGACTTATAAAAGGGGTTTGGGCCTGATGACCTCCTAGTTCTCATTCTCTGGCGGGTGCCAGGCCATTGTTCTGTGCCATCCAGCGCACCCAGAGCAATGTGGAAGCACTGAGAAGTGGGAAAGCACCAGCAGCAGAAAAAACAAAAAACAAAAATACCAAGCCAAGTGGCACTAATGTGGTCAAATAGCCAGAATGCCAGGAAATGGAGCAAAAAGACAGCACTGACCTGGCAGTGGTGAGGGTTAGCCTGGGAGCTCGGAGGAAGACTGGCTCCTCTCCCACTCTCCTCTTTTCAGAGGCCCCGGGGCCCTTGGGGAGGCGAGCCCTCTGAAAAGCATGCAGTGAGACCGGGGCTGCTGAAGGCTCTCTGGCAGAAATGCTCAGAAATTCATACTTGCTGGGAAAGGGGGGCCCTAAAAGGCAGACCCCTCCCAAGCATCTCTCTGAGGGCTGCCTTTGTGGTTTCCAACACATTAGTTTGAAATCTTCAGGGGTAGCTTTAAAAAAAAAAAAAAGATCCCAAACTAAAATACAATTCACTCAGTCCCCAAGGCAAAACTGGGGGGTGAGGGGTAGGGGCAGCCCCTCTCTCTTCCCTATCTAGTTTTCAAGCTGCAGAGTGGTCTTTGGGGACTTCTCATCACTCAGATCAGACCATGATGGTCATTTTAACCTGATCTCACCTGGGGGTGCGGTGGATACAGTGCTGAGCCAGTCAGGAATACCTGAGTTCATATCCTGCCTTAGACACTTCCTAGCTGTGTGATCCTGGGCAGATCACTCAGCCTCAGTTTCCTCATTACAAAGACTAGCTCCTAGGACGGTTGTGAGGATCAGATGAGATAATACTTGTAAAGTGATCAGCACAGTAACTGGCACATAGCAGGTGCTATATAAATGTCATCCCTATGATTACGATAGCTATTGTTATTATTAGAGAAAAATGTTTAGGAATGTGATTTGTTCTGACCAGCTCTGACCACCACGGAAGGTGATACAGCCCCATATAATGAGAAAGAGCACCTCTAAAGATCCTTTCATCAGCCCCTGGGAAGGCCCCCAAGCGGCCAACAGGTCACTTACCGGAAACAAGAAGTGTGCCAGACTTCACTCACTGTCCTGTACAGTCTCTGGGCAGGGAGGACATGGTCACCACACCCTCGACATTTCCAGGTGTCTTCCCCTGCAACAGAGAAAGCCGACTCTTTTAGAAAAGAGGCAGGATGGTGTCCCAGGGACAGCACCAAACTGGAAGCCAGAAGATGTTCACGGGTTGGCTTTGACTGTGACATCGTGCAGGCCACTCTATCTAAACCTCAGTTTCTTCATCTGTAAATTGGGAATAAGATGACTTTGTCTCTCTCACAGGGCTGCTGTGAGCCAAGTACTCTGTCACCTCCAAAGTGCTTGAGCAAAGGTTCAGACCCTGTAGGCAGTGCCCTGCTTCACCAGAACAGGGCATCTGTTTGCCGACTGAGAGCCTTCCTTGTAAACTGACTGTGTCTGGGAGAAAGAGCTTTGTTTGGGGTCCAGACTGAAAGCCAGGGCCATATTGGCAGGGATAGCTCCTGAATGTTGTTAGACCAGCAGGGTGGATGAATAGACAATGGACAGCCCGGCATTTCAGGGATGCTTTAGAGCAACTGGGGGCAGCAGCTGAGGAGAAGGAATTGCTCACAGTGCCCTTGTCGCTCCTAGACAAGCTAGGACAAAGAAGCCGGAGGAGGGCTCTGAAATACCAGCTCAGCTCCCTGGACAGCAATGAGCTCAGTGCATGCTGCCCCTGGATAGCTCTTCAGCTCTCCTTAAAGTGACACCTGCTTAGGGTGAAGGGAAAAACCCAAACTCCACAGACGGGCACATTCGCAAAATCTCATCAGAAAGACTGCTAGGGACCAGAAGGGGGAGGAACCAGATGCCAGACCAGCTTAAGCTAGCTCACCTCTGCCATTCATCTCTACAACAATGAGGAGACTCATGTGCAGTCAGCTGACAGATCTGAATTTCTATACCAAATGAAAATCCAAAGGCCTTTGGAATCTATGTGTCTATTCCAGAGATGGGGAACCTGTGGCCTTCAGGCCACATGTGGCCCTCTGGGTCTTCAAGTGCAGCTCTTTGACTGAATCCAAATTTTACAGAACAAATCCCCTTAATAAAAGGGGCCGAGGCCTCCCTCCACATATATTCACAGTTGAATGCTTCTTTTCCTGTAAACCCAGCCCAGAACCAGGAAGGGGTTGCTCAGGGTTGTAGGTTTTAAAAGTCCTTTGAGACATACAACCACGCCGTCAGGGTGGAGTAACTTGTTAGCGGGTCAGGGCGTAACCAGGTTTGGAATCTGGGGTTCTTGGTGCCTTTGCCTAAGGTGGGCCCCAGGATAAGAGTGAGTTGTTAATCTTTTGGACTTGTTGGCATAGATGGCATCTAGCCTCTTTCCCCCCTAACCATGGGGGGAATCCGGTTACGTGCACTCAGGGGCCCCATGAGAAGTGAGAGCTGGGAGGGCAACATTTTCTCAGGTCACTCAGGTCTAGGGTGGAGTGAGAGGCTTGGAATGGGAAAATGTCCTTCTAGAGGAGATTAAATGAGTAGCTTATATTCCCTGGAATCTATAAAGGCTATACATACCCCCACTTCTTCTCAGATTCTCCCTACTGCCCTGAGATGAAGGTAGGGCAAGACTGGGCACTCATAGCTCAATTTTTCTGGGGACAAAACTGAGTCAGCCCCAAGTAGGGAAGGGCTTTGCCCAGGGTTGCTCAGAGCTAGCTTGGATTCACCCTCCTGGATAGATGATTTCCAAGGTGGCTTAATTCAGTGAACACATTAATTGCCTACTGTGTGCAAGGGTGTGTGCTAAGGGCTTAGTGCACTGATACTAAAAATGGTTTAGCCCTGACCTTAAGAAAATTAGATTTTGGTTATGGGAAGACAGCGAGCACACAGGATCAAAAAGCTGGAGCTCCACCTGCTACAAGGAACATCCACACTTCACAGAACAAATCCCCTTCAGAAAAGGATGTGTTCTGGAAAACTTGGACTCAGTCAAAAGACCACACCTGAGGGCCACATGCGGCCCTGGAGGCTGGAGGTTCCCCATCTCTGGAACAGACACATAGATTCCAAAGGCCTTTGGATTTTCATCTGGTATAGAAATTCAGATCTTTTGGCTGACTGCACATGAGTCTCCTCATTGTTGTAGAGATGAATGGCAGAGGTGAGCTAGCTTAAGTCTATTCCATCAATGGTGGAATCCAACCTTCCTTGTTCCCCTGTGGAATTGTACCTCCAGGCCTGACAGCCCTGTACAAAGACTAGGCTCCTGCCTCACTTCTGACCTAAATCAATCTTATCAATCTGGATCACCAAACTTGGTTCCGAATAACTTTCCACGGAGCTTGAAGAGGCCCTCTGCTTTGGAGGACAGAGATTTGCTAGCAGGAAGTACATCACAGCCAGTCCCTACAGCCCCCATCCCACCCCGCTGTCCCATGCATGTTCCCAGCATGCACTATGCCTTCACTTTTCCTGATTTGGTCCCCACAACATCCCCACCTACCCTTTCAAAGGCAACACAAACCCAGCCTCCAAGAGCAGGCCGCCTCTGATTTCCTGGCTGTCAACACAGACCTTCCTTCTGCCAGGGCAGACTTAACCTAATTGCTTGCATCTACCTCTCCTACGCTTGTCCAGTCAACAAACCTTCATTGATTAACCACCACAGTGCTAAGCACGGCCTGGTAGGAGGTGCTGGGAGATGGTTCAGGTAAGACATAGCTCTGACGCTCCTAGATAGAGGCTAAGACCAAAGCTCAGATGACCAAAATGTGTCACATCGCATGATTAGTACATTACGAAGGAGAAAACCAAATGCTAAGTAGGGGCCACTGGTTGAAAGCCTGGGCATGTGTACCCTGGGCAAGAGAAGGCTTACCAGGCCACATTCCAGGAGAACTGGGCAACCAGTTACCTCCTGTACATTCATACTAGGGCACCCTTCCCTGGGCCAGGGGTGTGGAACCTACCGCCTTGAGGCCACATGTGGCCTTTTGATGGAATCCAAATTTTACAGAACAAATCTTGAGATACTTAAGGATCTGGAGGCCACATATGGCCTCAAGATTTGTTCTGTAAGAATTGGATTCCATCACAAGGCTGCACTTAAGGATCTAGAATGCCAAGTTCCCTACTCCTGCTTGCCTGGGCTATTTCCTAGGCCTGGAAGGACTTTCTTTCCCCATCTTTACTTGATGAACTCTTTTTATCTCCTTCAGGAACAGCTCCCTCCCCCCATCCAGCCTCCTTTCCACCAGCTGGTAACCAAGTAACAAAGTTCCTCTCCTCCCAAGGACACTTCAGCCCCAGGACTTCAAGGACCTTTGGTTCCATCAGTGTGGACACACTCACGCCTGTCCCAGATCACACCCCTCTAACCTTTAGGATGTGGTCTTTGAGAGTCAACCAACAGAAGAGTCACAATACTTTATAGCCACACATGGTGCTGGCATCTGTAAGAGATTAATGGTAGGCAGGCGAGGAAGGAAGAAGGAAGGACAGTCTTCTGGTAGAGTAGTTTTAAAATCAGGCTTTTAATAGCTATCTCCCCATTATTAGCAACACAAAAGGGAAAAAATATTGGTTTCTAAGCCAGGTTTTTCTGGGCATGCCCAGTTCTCCTTCCCTCATCCTACTCTTTTACCCCAGGCTCTGAGAAATGGGCCTGGAGGACACATGTTTTTGGTGTGTGTTGTCTGTTCTCGGTTTCAGGAGCCAGAGGGGATTCTCCCGCCTCAAGAGTTTGAGCCATGGAGACCTTGGAGCCAGGATGGTACAATAGCTAGCCTGACATGGAAGCCCTGAGAAGCCAGGTGCCTGGCACTTGAACAGGGAACCATTATTTGTGTTTGTATATCTACCCTGATGCTTCAAAATATTTGATAAACTTTTGGTGAACAAAAGAATGTAATCTGAATTATCTAACTGGTTTGATGATCAGGCATGGGTTAAAGATGACCCCAAGGTTTGGAGCCTTAGTGACTCTGGGGAGATGGTGCTATGGACAGAAAAGCCCTGAAGCCAAAATGGCTTGATGGGGAAAGATGGGAATCTGAGGTGACAGTAAGTAGTAAAGTAGAGGAGGTAACTGAATGTCTCCAGAGCAATTAGGAATGACCTAAAAGCTGGATGGCCTAGAGAGGTAAAGAGCTCCCCCTCCTTGGAGACACTTGAGCAGAGGCTGGACCACCATTTCATGCCTGACCCAGCCACAATGGCTGCTGAGGACTTTTCCAACATCTGACTTCTGAAATTCCTGTGACACTAACCTGGAACTCGAGTGAGAAAGAGGTCTCAAGTAGAGACTGGGGAGACCTTGGGCTAGACACAGCAGTTAAAGCCATAAAAATGGGTTTGAGTCACAACCATTTTCCACTAAATTAGAAAAGGCTAAAGCAGAAGAATATGATTTAACCCCTCAGCCCTCTTCCACACGCTTGGCCAGTTCCTATATCCATCCCTCATTCTTGAAAATTTATAAACATCCTGAATCTTTAGAGTCTGAAAGTCTCACCCTAAAGCAGGAAACCCCTCCATAGCTGTCCCAACACCCTGCCTCTGCCAACACACCTCCAGGAAACTCACCAGCACTTTGGCCCCAAATCCTATCTTTCTTCCAAGATTCTCCCCACCATTTCTCTCTTTTTTTCCTTTTATCCATTTTGAACTTAAATACAAAAAGAAAAAAAAGCATTTCCATGTACACAGCACAACACAAAAAGAGCACTCCGTATGAAACCATGAATCTCCATTTCACACTGTTCACTTTTTTTGAAAAACTATATAATAAACACTATACATCATTTTTCAAAACTATCCTGCTTTTCTGTGCTTCCTTCTGAGTTTTCTTTTATTCTCTGCCATACACTTTTTGTTTTTTTCCTCCCTCCCTTTCTACCCAGCATCTCTCTCTCTCTCTCAATCTTTCTTTCTCTCTCTCTCTGTCACACACACATACACACACACACACACACGTGTAAAACTACAGTCTACATACTTCTGTTCATCAGTTCTTTCTCTGGAGGTGGGTAGCATCTTCCTTCATAGATCTTTTGTAGTTGATCTGAGTATTTATAATACTCAAAATGACTAGTCACTCACAGCTGTTCTTAGAACAATGTTGCT